GGCTCTCGTGCGACTTCCACGCCGGCGGTCGCACCCTCACGATCGAGTCGGGCGACGCTCTCGTGTTCAACGGCGGCCCAGCGCACGCGGTGATGCACGGCCTCGACCGGGTGCACGAGGCCCCGAGCCTCGGCGGCGAGTCCAGGTCGCTCCCGGACGGGATGCTCGAGCAGCTCGGTGGCTGCCGCGTCTCTATTCAAGTCCGCCAGTTGTAAGGCGCGAAGCAGCGCCGCCGTGGGGGGAGAGGGGAGCTGCGCAGTACGTTGCTGGGTCGAGTGGAGTGATGCATGCTACGTTGACGCCTTGTAACGTACGCCGGGGGCCTGCGAGTAGCAATGCTGCCTGCCTTTTGCACATCCACATGTGCGTTTTCTGGAGATGTAAATGTCATAAATGGTATTACCTTTAGAAAGTGGAGAGGGCCAGGGGAGACCGCGCCCCTGGCAGGGCGGCCCTGGCCCTGCGCACATACCACATTGCTGCACAAAAAAGTCTCCTCTCTCATCTAACTCACAACACTTACACGGTCTCACGCGGCCGACGCCGGCCTTGCCCACGGCACACACTCTGCAAAATCTGCATCGTCGGCAGCGGGCGGCTGGCACTTGCGGGCCCCAGGAGTGAGGCCGCCGTCGAGTGTGTTGAGCACGTCGTCTGCGTGCAGCTCAAAGTTGGCGGTCGATCTCGCCGGCAGAAAGGGAGCGGGCACAGCTCCCGCCTGCATCGCCGACCAGTCCACCCCGGCTAGAAAGGGGTGGGCACGCACCTCGGACGCGCCGCCCGCGCCGAGCCGCGCGTCGGCGTCGGAGTGCCGGAGGGATGTGACAAAAGCCCGGCCGGCGGGCGAAGCGGTGGCCCAGGGAGCGCTAGACCGCATGCCCGACAGCGACGCGCGGCGAGGCCTCTCCTCCTCCTCCTCGCTCGCCGCCTACGGAGAGGGACGGCTCGCGCGCCTCACCGCACTCCGCCGCCCGAGGGCTGGGCTGGGCTCCTCCTCCCCGAGGCATGCCTCCGCGAGGCCGTCCTCGCTGGGAAGTGCGTCGTGAAGCAGCTGGTACAGAGTCACGCCGAGCGAGTACCTGCGGAGAGCGGGAGAGGTGAGAGGCGCTGCCGCCGCCCGCCGCACCCGCCAGTCAGACTGCGCCAGTCAAAGGTCAGCGTGTACCAGCCGCCACTGAGCGCCTCGGGCGGCATGTAGGCTCGCGTGCCCGCCTTGCCTCGCGTCTGCGC